AAAAATGACTTATAAAGGGAAAAAAATTAGAATATCATCACTTCTCAACAGCAACATTTTATACTGGAAGTAAATGGCGTTGTATATTTCAAATGCCCAAGGAGAGGAAATAAGATCCAAAAATTTTGTGCCCGGCCAAATTTATTTCCAATATACGAGACACAAACATAAACATGCAGGAACTCAGGATATTTGCGCCATGAGCCCTTTCCGAAGAATCTACTAAGAATGAGCTCTAGACAACCAAAAATGACGAAAGAGACCAAAACACAAGGGCTGGTGGGAACAATCAATATATATTTACTTATAAAACCAAGTGAGGGCTACGAGGGAGCAAGTATAGCGGGTAATGGGGATGTGCTCTGACAATGTGAATATAACACAAGCACCAAAAATGGGGGAGGAAGAATTAGCATACACACACACACACACACACACACACACACACACACACAGATTTCACCGGTTTTAGCTATCAGAGGTGGTATTGATAGTGTTGGCTTTGTTATGAGATTGTGTGTGTATATATAAAGTAATGTGGGATGAAGCAAAGGAGAAATTATAGGATAGTCTGTGATCCCTTGTGTCCTTGAAGACCAATATTCTCCTTGTATAGAATGGAGATGACAGGTGTAATATAAAAGGAGTTAAATAAAAACTCATCATCCTGAATTTGAACTGGAAGTTCGTGTACTCGCATACACATGCACATTCACACATCCCACATCTCACACCCATGTGACAACAGGGTGACTGCACCTCCCGCCCTGGAGGCAGCACCACTGGCCTCCGTTCCTCCCAGCGGCGCGATCTGCCCTGAGCCAGATTTCGTCTGGCTAAGCATTGTGTTCATACCTTCAGTTTAATCTCACTGAAAATGGTGAACAGTTCTTCCCTGAGTGTAACTGTTTAGCACACAGATTGTGTGAAAACTTTGTGTTTGTTCTCAAGGCCTTATTCAAACTTTTATTTTTTTTGACCATAGAATCTCCTCCTGGCACATATGTTTCCCCACCCTTCCTTAGTCCAAGTTCAGTCCTCTCGTCAGAACTGGGCCACAGAGGCTATTTCAGTCCCGTTCTTGGCTCCCCCACCCATTTCGGATTCTAGAGCAGACCACCCTGAGGCTGCAGGGACCCTTCTCCAGCCTGGCCGTGAGGCCTCCCCAAAGTAGGGGAGCCTTTCCTGACCAGCTAGCTAGAGGGAGCCTGTAAACTTCCCACCTGCCTCTCGAAAGTGCCCTGTTCTTAGCACTCTCCCTCCTGCCATGCCACCAGGGCACAGGGCTGATGCCCACTGCCAAGGACCCGCTGCCCAGCTCTCTCTCCCAGGCTAGGAAACGTCTCCTCCTCCCCACCTTCTGAAGGACACTTGTCCTTTATGTAATGTGTCTGTGCCTCAGCTTCCACAGTTACGAGGATGTGAACAGCTACTGCCTCGTTAAATTGCTGTATTTAATGGGTTAGGAGATGGGCCCTTGAGCCATGCTTGGCACAGAGCTAGCTGTTGCCCCTGCCTTTGCTGGCAGCGGTGTTCTCGCCTGGTCTTGGGTGGGCTCAGGGGTTTGCCAGCAAGAGGGCTTGTATGGGGCAGCCGGTTAGCTCAGGTGGTTAGAGTGCAGGCTCATAACACCAAGGTTGCCGGTTCGATCCCCACATGGGCCACTGAGTTGTGCCCTCCACAACTAGATTGAAACAACTACTTGACTTGGAGCTCCTGGGTCCTGGAAAAACACACTGTTCCCCCAAAAAAATCTTTAAAAAAAAGAAAAAAAGAGGGCTTGTGACTTCCTGGTGCCTGTGTGCTTCCTTCTCTGTCCACATCACAGAAGCACGGACCTTCGAGAGGGCCGGCCACTGCTTGAGAGGCCGATAAAGGAAGAACAAACACAAATTAACAATCACCTAAATGATCCAGGCTGCTCATGGTCCAGTAGGTTCAGTAACTGCATTTGGTGGCAACATGACCCAGGCCACGGTCAGTGTCTCTCCCGTTCTCCTTGGTGTTCAGAGCCTGCCCTACAGATGAGAAGACTCAACAGGTTGTCAAAGATCCTATTTTCGAAGGTGTGACTTATATATTTACATATGAAGACGTCAGGAGCTTCGGAATATATGAATGCCCCGTTGTGTAGTCTTGGAAGAGCTGTTGTGACAAAAAGTTAGCCTGAGGGCGTCTCTCTGTTGACTTCATTCTGGAAGCTGGACAGCCTGTGTCCAACTTAAGTTTCATTATCAAGTCAGTGTCCCTGGACTTTAAACATCTCGCATGTGTCACAGTCCGTGTCCTTAGAAGACGATGCTCTGTGCAGCCGTCGTAGTTCCTGGGGGAGAGCCAGGGACGTCCTTGTGCTGGGGTGGGGAGGCCCAGCGACTGACAGGCATGGCCTGTCTTCTTGGGGCCCCCTGTGTTCTCTCACCCCTTTTCTTTGATTACCTTGTTTGAGAAACTAACAGTATTTTTAATAAATTATTCATATGCATTCCCTTTTTAATGCTGTGGAAAGTGGAAGGAAATATTACAGGCTGAGTCCACCTTTATTTCTCAAATATTCTTTTATTTCTCGTGATTTTTTTTAACCGTGTTTTGTGTGTTCCTATTCTCTTCCGTTTTTCACTCATTGTTTATTAGCTGGCAAGGGCCGCTGTAACTAGTACCACATCCTGAGGGGCTTACATAGCAGAAATGTTGTCTCGCAGCTCTGGAGGCTGAACGTCCAAGATTAAGGCGTCAGCAGGGGTGGTTCCTGCAGACGCTGAGACAAAACCGTTCCGTTGCCGCAGCCCCAGAGCTGCTTGCTTCCAGCCCCTTCCCCTGTTCTGCTGCCCGGACGACTCAGTCCTCCCGGCCCAGATGCCCAGCTGCCTTCAGGCTCTCGTGGCCTAAACTGACCTGATCGTGTCATCCCTCCTATCATCTCTTGGTGGTTTGCTGGCAATCCTTGGTGTATGCAAATCCCCCCTTTATTAAAGTACCACCCACCTTGATGGCCTCATCTTAACAGCAACAACCTTGTTTCCAAATAAGGTGACATTGTGAGATGCTGGGGGTTAGGATTTCAACACCGGAACTTGAAGGTGACGCAACCCACCCCGTAACACACGCCTGCTTCTCCTCCTTCATTGCTGTGGGCCTCCTTGCCCTTTTTCATGCCCGCCCTCTCAAGTACATTTCCACCCGTCATGCCCCACGTGCCTCCCTCGTGGAAGAGCTGGCGTTGCAGGAAATGCTGAAGTTTCTAAGTTCCGATTGAGTAGACGGGACGGGCTGGTGGCGTCCATGCTCGGCAGGAACAAACCGTAATAATGTGCTTTCAGAACGAGTCTCAGCACGAGGCAGACAGCCCGGACTAGCTGTGTCCTGCGCTCCATCAGAACCAACGTCCACTAATTCAACCTAATCTAATTTGTCTAAACCAGCGGCTCTCAACCTTCCTAATGCCACGACCCCTTAATACAGTTCCTCATGTTGTGGTGACCCCCAACCATAAAATTATTTTCATTGCTACTCTATAACTGTAATTTTGCTACTGTTATGAATCGTAATGTAAATATCTTTTTGTTTTCCGATGGTCTTAGACGACCCCTGTGAAAGGGTCGTTCGACCCCCAAAGGGGTCGCGACCCACAGGTTGAGAACCGCTGGTCTAAACAAAATCTGTTCGGTTCTAGCAGATACAGTGCATTGGATATTAAAGTGGACTTACTTAAGCAGGGAATTGGGGATCACTTTCACATCACCTCTAATGTCATGTTTACAGCAATAAGTGCTGGATTTAACGGTGTCTACAGGACCCCTTCCTACTCTAGTGAAGGCGAAATTAACCACTGTTCTATTTATTACCTGCTCATTAAAAAGCGCGGGGATTGGAAGCCATAACAGAAGCTGTCATTATCTGTCATTCTCCCCACCAGCACCCACTGCCCTTGCCAAGGACGCCCTTTTTCATGTGGAGGCTTTAAAAGGCCGCCCTCCACAACAGAACCCTCATCGTATCTGGGTTTTAACTCCAGTTTCCTTCGCATTTCAAAATGCTGTAAAGCTTTTGATATTTTCAGTATGTCATCCACTCGTGGCTTGTTTTTTTTTTCAGTATTTTTGTACACGCATAAGTGTATTTATTTGCCGTACAAATATAGCCTCGAAAGTTCAGCAAGATCCATACTTGTTATAGGAAGAAAGAGTCAGGGGAAAAAAAAAAGATCATTAAATATTTTTACTCCAGAATCAGGGACAAAAAAAGAGAGACTCTTGTGAGCATGGAAAGGTCCATCCTCTTGACAAATGGAGACAGCCAAACTAATTTTCGTGGTGACCTTATCTAAATTAGTTAGAAAATAACCCTTCAGATTTATGGCTAGTTACAATTAAGCCCTTTGATGCCTTCTAATTAAACCTGTAAAGATTTATTTCTGAATTATTCCTTTGGTGATCCTTTAAAAATGATAAAAATGTAAATGAATATTACCCTCCAAAAGAGATGCTTCTATTTATCCTAAATTAGACTCGTACCCATCCTTTCCAATGGCTGCATTTTAGGCTCAGATTTACACACTCCGACACAGATGTCACGTCACGATCTTAAATCATTTACTTTTAAAGTTTGTGCAAATGTTAGACAGAATCTCTCGGAATATAAATTAAGCCAAAAAACTTCTGTGTTTTAGTCTTATTTGTAGGTCCCCCACTTCAGAATTTTGCCCTACCTCACACATCCACTATTCAAAGGCTATTTTCAAAACCTATGATGGGGTTCATACGCTCCTCAGCACACGGCCCAGTTCCCACCCACACCAGCACAGCCGTGCTTTCACGACTGCACTCTTCTTCTTCCAGCCTTTCTCTAAGAAAAGACGTGTTCTCCATACAGACCCTCTTCATACCATTATATTTGCTCAGAAATGTCCAATTCCTTCCGTGTTAGCTTTGTAAGTGCCAGAATCACACGGCTCAGACCAGCGTAGCTGCCCATTCATTTGTCCTCTGTTTCCTTTCTCCCAGGTGAGTACAGCTACCTGGGGACCACTCTTCGCCAGGTAGCCATAGAGCCCATGCCTTCCCTCATGGATGTCAGACAGCTCATCGCCCTGTACGGGATCTTGCCACTAGGTAAAGGCTTTGCTCGCATGCCCTGTTGTGCCTTTTCTAGAACGAGGGGATACACCGCCGGCTGCTTTGACTGTGTCTTCCTGTGTCTCAGCGTGCATTGAGGCTTGACACTTCCCACCGGGAATTTTCAGTGAGGCTAGTTCCATGGCCATAGCGCACCCCAGAGCACCCCGAAAGGCACTGCCCGGGAACACCTCTGAGCATCTGCTTCGCATTCGAGGCGGAAGGTCCCATTGGCAATCATCTGGAGGGAGAACAGCCCAAGCAGCACCTGCAATTAAAACTTACCGAGTTAGACAAAGCACCAAGGACACGGCTTGCCTAGTACACACAGGCTTCTGTCACTAGGTCCTTAAGAGAGCCCACCCTTTGGGAGTCAGGGTAAGGGAGGTTCATGTGTCTAAGGGATCAGGGCTCTGCGGCTTTCACTGACGTCCACTCTACCTGCCGAATGAGATTCCATCTCAACCCTTCAGACGGGCTGACCAGAGCTCTGCCATGTGCCAGGAGGTGCTGGAAAGCCGGGCTCGGTAACAGACAGCTGCGCTCTCACTCACGCTTACTTTTAGTTTCTGTGACTCTAATATGTGTCCGACCTGAGTCAGCGGAGGCAGAGGCTGTGCTCTGACGACAGTTCTGAAATAGAAATCACGCCTTGTTCAATGTGCTTTCCGATGAGATAGGAAGAGTTTGGACACTTCTAATTTGACTTAAGTAAGAATTTACCCTCCTGACAATAATTAGTCTGCTCTTCTCTTAGTAAATTGAAGTAGTAAGTAGAGAAGTAGTGAATTGGATTTGGGGTTGACGTAAATAATATAGAGAGGGAACATACACAAATAGATAATTCTCTGGGGCGCCACATAATTTGGAATCAACACAAGAAATATATAATATCTCTGGGTCCATGTAAATTACCAAATAAACAGATTAGCTCCTCAGATGTCATCACAGTGTAACTGATGGGAGGCAGTTGGGCCGAGGGGGCCAAGAGCAGACACGTTTCTAAGGAAACGCCTAACAAATCAGAGTGTGGTGTTTGCATCCTGGGCTCCTGGATTCAAGGTGATGGGTGTTGTTTTCCAAGCTGCTGGAAAGCATCAGGAGAGAGGCGCTCAGGAAGCATCCGGCCCCGACCCTCCTTTTGTCAATGAGGAACCCCAAGTCCCTTTGGGCTGCCGCCCCCCCCCCAGGCCCCAGAGTGGGCAGGCATTTGGTCTCAGGACTGGTGTGCTTGTCTGCAATGCACAGCCAAGACAGACAGAGAAATCATTTAAATTTCATAAGCTACGAAAAAGAATGGGTTTATTGGCCCCGATGCTCAGGTCGCCACTGCCAGGACTAACCAACTCATCCACTGGGCAGAGGACACTGAGGACACACGTCAAGGCCACTCTCCACCCCAGCCAGGCCACCCAGTCTCCGCCGGCTTCAGCCTGAGCTCCCAGGACAAGGTCTGGGCGGTAAAGGAATGCCCAGGAAACATCTGGCAGCATCCACCCTCCCTCCCGGAAATGCTTGTGTGCCCCGGAGCCCAGGAGGGAGAAAAGGAAGGGAGGAGGTCGTTGCTTATGAAGCAGAAACAGCCTGCTGGGAGCTTTACGCAAATTGGTTCATTTCCCAGCAGAACCCGTCAGGTGGACCTTGAACCTGCTTTGCCAGATGAGTAAGCCTTTCAGAATCCAAGGTTAGGAAGTGGCAGAGGGGCTTAGGACATGGAACACCGGCTTCCGTGTGACGCTAATCCTCCGAAAATTGAAAAGCCTGGAAATTTACTCTTAGTAATTCTACGTATTTTTTTAAAACTGCCATTGAAAGTTGAGATGGGCAGGAAGAACCATGGCCGCGGTGGCGGGTGTGTCCCCATCAGCACCCTCGCTCTTCTTCTACCAGCTGTCCAGCGGTCAGAGAGGCCAGGCGCAGAGACCGTCCCAGGCCACGCTCTTTACATCTCTGAGCAACCTTGGTGACCGCCGCCTGCCTTCTGGAAAATCACTTCCCTGGAGCAAACGCACACCTTCTGGGTCTCCCACCCCTGCACCCTCCCTCCTGCCACCCCCTGCTTCTGTCCTCAGCACCATTCTCTCCTCCTTCCACCCCTCCCAGGGACCTCTCCCCACCCCCCTGGCCTCAGCCAGCACCTTGGGCAAATCTGCAATCCCCGCCACCTTCCAGGGACCTTTCCAGCTGGCCTGTCTTTCTCCCCACCCCCTCGCTGTCCCCTGCGGATCACAATTATCTGCCACTCCCCCAGTGCCCTCCTACTCCCCACACCAGGCTGCGCTCACGATGCCCTCCTCACTGGCACCTTCTCAGAAGTCCCCTTCATGGCACGTTCCAACTCCCTGCTCTTCCGAGGCAGCCTCCTGGAAGTCCGGCCTGAGCGACCGCCACCCACCCCCACTCACCCGCCAAGTTGGATTTCGTTTCTTCTCTGAACTTCCTGTGGAGCACAGGTCTTAGCAGTGTTTGCCTCCCATTCTAGTCCCACCCACTCAGGTCTAGGTCTCCTCCTGCCATTAACTCTCCGAGCAACTCCTGAGTCTTCATATTGGAGCCCCGATGGCCCCCGGCCAGGACCAGGGACCAGGCAGCCCTCGGAACACCCAGTGAACAGAGGCTCTCTCCTGTCATGAGAAACAGGGTCTCCTTTATCCCTCACTCACCACAAGGGTTTCATTTCCTTTCACAGAGATCTTGCTCAAAACTATTTTCCAAGTTTATGTGGCATATGTTAGGTAACCATGAAAATTGTTGCTGATTATTTGGTAAATTCCCAGTATCTTTTCCATGACACAAGAAAGAAAAGAAGGCAGCACAGTGCTCATTGTAATGCTGATGTAGTCACAGTGGCTCAGGACACGCCCAGTAGTTGACCAAAAACAAACCAACAACGCGATTGGGGTTGTTTCAATCGCAGCACTTCCCAGGACTTAATTCCGCGGATGTTAGAAATACTTAGCACCACCGTGTGCTCCACTTGTGTTCAGGACGATGGAAGACGCTCAAGCCGGAGTCCCCATCTGGACCCCAAGGCGATGGCCAATGAGTGACAATGCGCAGGTGGCACGAACCTCTGAGGGACTGCGTAAGAACTCAAGTCACCCTACTATCAGGTGCCAGGTTGACTCTGCCCCCACTGACAGGCTAGAAAGAGGGCAGAAGAGGGACGCACAGCTCCTGCCACGGATGTCGGGACTCCCCTTGCCCTTCTAAGAACCGCTGAAGGACACTTCTCAGCCTCCTCCCCACCCAGCCCCACATTCTCTTCCCAAGCTTCCAACGATGTAATGTTGCTGCTGACAAGCAGAGAAACCCCATCTCTCTTCCCCCAAAATGCCAGAGGTAAGTTATTGCAGGAATGTTCTTTAAAGTTATGAGTTTGGGGGAAATTCCAGGGTGAGGGGTGGAGGAGAAGCAACGTGTTGAATACCCAAGGAGACGGTATGGCTCCACCGTGAGCTGTGACCTACAAATCAGTGTCGCAGAGCCAGCTGAGACGGAAGGCGTGCCTCTGGCTCAGAGTGCTCCCGACACATTCATCACTGTTGGGGGGACACACGACGGAGTTGTGGCCTTGAGGAATCCCAGTCTCAGAGCCGCTGACTTTCTTGGCGGGACCTGAGAGCCTCCACCTCTGGCTTTTGCAGGTTCCGCAGCAGTGCACGAGAAGGCTCCTTTCGTGAGGTCCCTGCTGCTGGCCGGGCCGTCGGGGGTAGGGAAGAACATGCTGGTGCATGCCATCTGTACCGAAACGGGAGCCAACCTCTTCAACTTGTCCTCAGCTAACATCGCCGGGAAGTACCCGGGCAAAAGCGGCCTCCAAATGATGCTGCATATGGTCCTCAAGGTACTTACGACGTTTCGCGGGCCCGGCGTTCCTTCTTCATTCGGGGTCTCTTTTCCCATCCTGCAGTTCGTCTCTTTAAGCCAGCGAGCACAGGCCCTGGCAGCTAAACTCCTTAGGCTGGCATGAGCGTCCCTCTTCAACGTCCCCATTGCGTTCCTGCACATTACGTAGTGACTGCATCTGGCTGAGCGTGGCGCCATTCAAAGCAGCTTCTGTCTTTGCACAAACACCCCACGGTGCCATGCGGACCGGCCTTCTAGTGCCACAAGAACCCTTTCTGAAATACTCGCACAGCTCATGGGAAATTCAATCCACAGTGCCTTTTTTTCCCACCCACCTCCCTTCACTAACGTCATCAGACTTTTGCTTGGGGGGATATGCCCACGAGGCATGCATTGCCAAGGTGTGCTCCCTTCTGTACATCAGCTTCTCACACAGGTAATAGGAAGAGCCCACAGGAGGCTAAGCCGACCACGGTGATGCAAATGCTCATTATGTCACCTGGCCACAGGACAGGATTCCTAAAAGACCCACACACCGCCCAGCTCCGCCATCTCAGAGAGGCTCCTCCTCTCCCTGGGTCTCCATTTCATCGTCCCCAAAGTGAATGAGTCAGCCCAGGTGACGCTGAAGCGCTCTGTCAGACGAAAAGCGGTGATTCTCTGATACAGGTTAGATAGAGATGGTGATGGTAATAGGTGGTAGACAGATGATTGACTGACTGATAGATGATAGATGATAGAAAGATAGATGATAGATGATACACAGTGCACAAGGATTACCAACTTTTAAAGCATTTTGATATAGAATACTTATATGTAATATCAAAATCACAGGATTTCATTTTTATTTGGTCGAGCACCTCAAGGCTGACTTTATGCTGTTGGGTTCACGTTTAGTTGCCAGGATGCCAGGTAAGTCCGCCTTTACTGCATCAAAGCATATGCGTAGCAAGGACTGTCACAAGCAGACGCTAGCACTGCGTCTGCTTTCCGGGGGCTCGAAAGCGCGGGACCAGCTGCTCATACACAATTGCTCAAAGAAAGGGCTCCTTTCCCGCACCATCCAAACGCCACTGTGACCGAGGAGGCGGTGGGGTGTCCTCCCTGAGCCACAGCCCCAACACTGCCGTGTGCAGGAAACCCCAGCTCCCCGTGTCTCCCTTGCTTGTCCTGACGGATTCCACGGAGAGAGGGTTTTGAAGAGCTAGGAGGTGGGAGCAGAGGAAGGTGGGCAAGGAATGAAGAAAGAGCACTGAGCTGTTTAACGGAGCCACTCACACAGGCTGGGTGTTCCACACCCTTATGTCGTGACGTGGAACCCTCCCAACAGCCAGGTGAAGGGCTCACCTCATCCCCCTCGTACGGAGAAGGAGATTGGGGCCCCAAGGCCGCCAAGGTCAAGGGGCTGAGCTGGAACCCGAGCCTAGGTTCTTCTTTAGCCTCCTGCACTATTTTTGTTAAGGTAAAATGTATATACAGGGACATGCACAGATCTTAAGTATATATTTTAAGTGTGAGCTTTGAAAAAATGGACACAGCCGCGTAACTACCATTTTCATGGGCTTTTTGGTCCCTTGTATGACTCTTTTTTTGAAATGTCTGCTCAAGTCATTTGCCTAGTTTTCAGTGAACTGTTGGTCTTGTGGTTACAAGAGTTCTTTATATACGCTGGATGCACGTTCTTCGTCGGACATAGGAATTGCAAATGTTTTCTCTCCTCTGTGACTGTTTTTTTCACTTTTTCATTTTTCTTGGTTTACTTGTCCTATCAATTGCTGAAAGACGATGTGAAAACTCCAACCAAGGACTGTGGAATTATTTATTTCTCCCTTTAGTGGTGTCAGTTTTGCCCCGCGTATGTTGAAGCCCTATTGCGAGAGGCATCACACATAGGATGTTACATCTTCCTGGTGGGTTGTTTTCTCACTATCAAATGCCCCTTTTTGTCTTGGGGTCCCCCTAGTCTTATAGGAATAGAGCCACATCGGCTTCCTATAGACTGTTACTTCCGATGTCTTATATAGAGAAAGTTCGTTTCTTGTGGATAGCACATAGTTAAGTCTTTCTTTCTTATTCAGTCTGACAAATATGCCATTTAATTGGAGCATTTGCTTTGTTTACATTAAATGCAGTTATTCATATGGTTGAGTTAGGGCTACCATTTTGCTGTTTGTTCTCCATTTCCTTTTTTATTCTTTTATTTCTCCTTTTCTTTCTTCTTTTGGGTTAACTCAGTACGTTTTAGTGTTTTACTTGAATTCCTCTATTTTTTTAGCAATGCCCCTTTCTTATTTTTTAGTGATTGCTCTTCAGATTACAATAGTCACTTTTAATTTATCACAGTGTACATAGGGTTAATATTGTACAATTTTACATAAAATTACAGCAATATCACCCATTTATTACCCCTTGTCCTTTATGGTTTTATCATACATTTTACATCTAAAAATGTTATAAACACCACAATAGAGTGTTATTATTTTTGCATTAAATAGTGGTTTGTCTTTTAAAGACATTAAGAGGGAAGAAATTTGTATTTTACTTTTAGTCACACATTTCCCATTTTCAGTGCTTTTTATTCCTTTCTTTTGGTCCAGCTTTCCATTTGGTGTCATTTCTCTTTTAGCTGAAGAACTTCCTTTCATATTTATTTTAGTGAAGGTCTGCTGGCAGCAAATTTTCTCAGTCTTCGTTTTATTTATTTCAAAATGTCTTTATGTTCCCTCCATTTTTAAAGGACAGTTTTGCTGGAGATAGAATTCTGGGTTGACATATGTTTCCTTCAGCACTTTAAAGATGTTATTCCACTGTGTGAGGCACAAAGCATGTAAGTCGTTTTCCTGGGTTGCAGTGCTGCGATGTGAGCCCTCCCAGTCTGCGTCCAGAGCTGGATGCCTACATGATCCAGCCTCTCACTGAAGTTGGGCTGAATTCAGCCTGTCTTCTCCCACGCACCAAATGGCTCAGTGCTCCTGGTCTGATTATGGGACAGGGCCCACGAAATGACCAGGAAATTATTTGTTTCTGCT